CTCTCTGTTTCATTTGTAGCACTGTGTGTTCAGTAACCTCACTGCAGTTGGTACAAATGAATTTCTATATCTGTCTGTTCTTGCTTTTTTGGAAATGTATTACGGCACTTCGTTACCTCAGAATTACAAAGTTCTATCTGCTCAGTGACCTAGTTTGGAGAAATTTGACGTCAAAATTTTGGGAGTTTCGATGCATGTCAAGCTTTTCCGTAAGCAGTTCTTCGAATATCTCGATAATGACTCCGAATATACTTACGATTCTGATAGAGTAGTAGGAACATTTGATTTCTGATCTCGAGGTCTTAGTTACACAAAACGGCCAAAAACGTAAGATAAAACTTAATAATTCTGAAGTTGCAACTTGCAACACAATGGCGTCATTTAAGTGCCGAACATTAGGGGTGCTGCCAGAGAGCAACGTCAATTTAAAAAATACAAAATAAATTTAGAACTATTGTTCGCGACGTTCTTTTTTCCCCCGAGCCCTCGCATCCGGTCTACGACAGGCCGAGCTCAGTCAAATCCATGGATCGCAGGCGCCTTAAGGTCGATCTCAGGCTCCTCAAGGCCTAACGCGGCTCGACTGAAGGCCAGGGGCGGATTTTGGGAAATTCTCGCAATCGCGGAAAATCGCGGATCCGTGGAAAACTGTTCTGTGATCCCTGCACAAACGGCTCTACCGCAGATTGCTCGAAACAAACTCTCCATTTCTCTCGAGTACTCACCCTGTCCCCGATTAGAGTAGGCAGTTGAGCTTCATTCCAGCTCTCTCCACCATCAGATGAAATCATCATCAGTTTCTCGTCTTCCTGTACCCAGAAGTACACACAGAAAATTCATAAGAAAAAGAAAATTCACAAAAAAATCTCTAAACGCAAACGCATTTTTCTCAAAAAAAAACCAAAAAAAAACCAGAGATAAAGAGGAAGCAAAAGAGAAGCACAGAGAGAGAGAGATGGAGAGAGAGAGATGGAGAGAGAGAGATGGAGAGATGGCGAGACAGAGAGAGAGAGAAAGACATATGCACAATAGGAAAGAGAGAGAGAGAGGGAGAAGAACAGAGAGAGACAGACAGAGAGAGCGAGAGAAGCAATTCTTCCTTATGAAAGAACTCCCAGTAAGAAAAACCCATTTTCAGCAATAACCAAAATTTAATATAATAATGCCAGCGCCATCGTCGTCGTAAAGGAATCTGACCAAGCCTCTGACAACAGACCATCGTCGTCATAAAGGAATCTGACCAAGCCTCTGACAACA